GACCACACCGCAGGCGGAGACCCCCTTTTTATCGATTAGGGGGCCAGCCAGATAATTGTTGAAAAAATTGATCATATTATATTACAATATATAGGCTCTATAGGGCATACATACTTCGTGATGGTTGAGAAACTTAGCGAATGATGTCTTCGTAGATGTTCTATTCATGGTGTCGAAGAAGAGAAAAGTGAAAAGGGAGTGAAAAGGGGGAGGGGCTGAGTATGGCGGAGTAAAGGTGGCTAAATACCGGCCAATCCGGTAGGGTACCGAGTGAATACCGAGTGATGACGACCGATAAGGATAAGGAGAAGTAAGGAATGGGGAAGGAATGGATTATGATATTAGTGAACATGCCACTTGCATAAACCATAACCATTAACCATAAACCGTAACTTTATTGAATGCATCATCACTTCTATTCCCTGCTACTTATTACGAAATACAATACGTACCTAACCCTTTTTTTGAATTTCTTCTCCCTTACACAACTAAGGTACTCACTCACTCACTCACTCACTCACTCTGCTCGCATATACTCGTCGCGTGACATGCTCAAGACCGTTCGTCAAGATTTAGACTCTTAAGACTCTTTTAAAAAAGAGCAAGAGAGGAAGAATAAAACACGGTGATAAGAGAGAGAGGGGAGAGAGACCATGATTTCTAGGAAGAGACAAGATGGATCCCGAGTCATCAGCGCCCCTGGAGCGATCGACGTCACAGCTCTCTGCCACTTCGGCTTCGGTTTCGGTTTCGACTTCGACTTCGACAAAAGGTAGAAGTCATTCGACGCGGGCCAAGTCCAAGCCTAGGAAATTAATATCGCAACCTTCGAGCTCGGCATCTTCTGTCGCCACATCTGACAAGTCACTCACTTCCTTTCCGTCTTTTTCGCCGCAGTCGCCCTCGCGATACGAGTCCACCTTCACCACACCCGCTCCCGATATAGCTACGGTTCACGTCGAGAGGAAACCGTCCGAAGCGCCAACAAGGGCAACAAACACAACCACCAACACGACCGCGACCGCGACCGCGCCTTCAACCTCCATCGTTGACAGTCTAACTTCATCCGAAGCCCAGAAGACGGCGCGCAATGCGCTATTTGACGATGCTCCCTTGGCTACCCAGAAAATACCCGGCGCACTCCATCTTGCCGACGACGAGCACATCGAACGTCTAATCGCGAAGCATGGAACTGTCAACCTGGTGCGCCAGATGGCCGAGGATGTGGCCCACCGCGATCAACATATCGCTAAACTAAAGAGGAGAGCAGACGAGAGAGAAAGGGCGCTGCGGAAAATCATACTGGGCTGTGGATTTTCTAGTATGGACCTCGAGACGAAGCTGCGGTCCGTCGAGACAGAGCTACAAACACAAGATAAGATCAAGTGTGCGCAGAATGGAGACGTCTCCGGCATGATAAGCAGCGCGATGCACGATTCCATGTCCTACGATGCGCTGGGCCTTGGCGGCATGAACGACGGCACTATTAGAGCGAGTAGCCTGTCCATGCCCAAGGATAATACCACGAGTAAAAGCACCGTGAGAGCTTGGAAGGACTATCTCTTGGGTGGTGGCACGAGTAGAAAGGCCAGTAGAGCGGGTAGCATCAACGAAGATGTCGCAAAGACGGTCATTCGCTCATCGACACCTGCAGAGCGACGACCTACTATTCAAGAAGACCTCTTCACCCCTCCCGATATGGAGTCAGGGCGAAGCTCTAGTCGCGCTTCAAGCATCTACTCTACACATACCAACAGGAAACAATCGGCATCTTTCGCCAGCATGGCTCTTCAACTGGTGGCTGGGAAAGCCTCCTCCGTTCGCGATTCCGACTCTACTAGGGGGAGATCGAATTCGGCCGGCCAAGGCGGTTCCTTGAGAGCCTCGTCAAATGCTAGCACCAAGACTAGTGCTTCAAACCGCGCCGTGTCCACTCAAGGGGGACCGAAAGCGCTCATGTCCATGCGACGAGGGACGCCAAAACCTCCTAATTTGGCGCAAAGACCACGCGGAAGGTTAGAAAGCATGGGGGCAAACCCGGAGAGTCCGTCGGCAGTGCGGTCTGATAACTTTGGACCCGTCGAAATGGATACTATCTTTTCCCCCGAAGGTCAACCACCAGTTCTATCACAGCTTTACAACAACCTCAGCAACGGCGAATATTTAGTAGATCGATATGGATTCATATACGATCAGCGCCGGAAGAAGAGGCAGCGCGAAGCAGCCCATGTCGCTCAACAGATGAAAAAGGGGCACGAGATGCTTTCCGGTGGAAGGTCAAATCTCTCGCCTAACTTGCTAGATGATGACACCAGCACGATTCGGGACACTATAAATGATTCTCGTCCGGAGAGTCCGACCTCGATCGAAGACCCAGCTGACCACGGCAGGGCGAAACGGTGGCAGGACTATCTCAAGATTGCTGCTTTCCCGACGGAACTATTGTCGCACACTCCTTCTATCGCAGCTCCGAGCATACAGGTACACGAAGGGAACGAGATGCCCAAGTCACCAACATTAATAAACACAGGCGACCGTGGCTTCGTCCCATCCGCTAGCACTACCACTTCGGCCTTAGATAGGGAAGCAAGCCCGAATCCGGAAGACGAGTCCACCTCCGCCACTCTCGTGCACGAGGATGTCGAGCCGGTGAAGCTACTCCTCAAGCAATTAACTGATGTCCACGATGCTCTACAGAGAGAAAGGTCGGTTCGATGGAACGAGTTTCTGCGAAAGGTACGAGCGGAACGACGACGCGAGGGCGAGGCTGCGGCTGCTACCGCCGTGGCCGCTGCCGAGGCCCGTTTCCAGTCGGCACCTGTCATGATTCCGGAGGCTAAGCTGACGGACGGCGAGACGATCGGCATCGCAGATCTCGGAGTTAAAGGAAAAGTCGGGCGGGCCAAGTGGAACGAGTTCAGAAACCTGGTCCTCGGTGGCATCCCTGTAGTGCATCGTCCCAAGATTTGGGCAGAATGTTCCGGTGCCCTTTCTAAGCGAATCCCGGGCTGCTACACGGATCTCATCTCGCAGCCCAACGAAGCCGACGATGCCGTCATCATCTCCCAAATTGAGATGGACATTAACCGTACCCTCACCGACAACATATTCTTCCGCAAGGGACCTGGCGTTGCAAAGCTGAACGAGATACTCAGGGCGTATGCGAGACGTAACCCCGAAGTTGGGTATTGCCAAGGCATGAATCTGATTGCGGCGAATTTACTGCTCATTATGCCTTCTGCCGAGGACGCTTTCTGGGTCTTCGTGTCTATCATTGAACGGATCTTACCCAAGGGATATTACGACCATAGCCTGCAAGCGTCTCGCGCAGATCAGCAGGTCTTGCGCCAATACGTGCGGGAAGTTCTACCGAAGCTGTCCCAGCACCTCGACACACTAAGTATCGAACTAGAAGCCTTGACCTTCCAATGGTTCCTCAGCGTCTTCACCGACTGTCTCTCGGCCGAAGCCTTGTTCCGCGTCTGGGACGTCGTGCTCTGCATCAACGACGGAAGCACGTTCCTGTTCCAAGTAGCACTAGCCCTTCTGAAGCTCAACGAGCGGCAATTGTTGCAATGCGACACGCCCGCGGCCATCTATACCTATATCAACCACCAGATGACCAACCACGCCATCAGCATCGACGGCCTGATCCACGCCTCCGAGGGACTTCGGCGGGTTGTCCGAAGAGAGGAGGTCGAGGAGAGGCGCGCCAAGGCCATCGAAGACGACAAACAGATGATTCGGGAACGCGAGGAGCGCAACTTGCAGCGGCAGCGGAACCAGCACAAGGGGACGTCGGCGCCGACGCTCGTGACTAAGACTAGCGCCTCGGCGGTCCCGAGCCCTTGTCCGACGCCCCGTCTACCGGGGCTAGACGGGGAGAGCTTGCACGGTAGTGTTGCCAGTCTAGGCGCTTTGGACGATAAAGAGGCAGTGGAAGGGGGCGATGCCCTCGGGACAGGGGTGATGAGTAGGCAGACGCCGACGCCGGCCGAGGAGGAGACGGCGTTCGGGCTTGGGTGACGGAATGATGATGTTGAAAAGGATCGAATCGAATCGAACTGAGCCGGCGTTCCTTACTTGCGTTGAGTATTGTTACTACCGCACAGGAACACAACTTGGAACAACAGCGGCAGGTCTCCGGTAGACATGGTGGGCTGGTTTTCTTGTCTTGTCTTCTCTTTGTTGCCGCTGCTTTTTAGAGAGACTGGAACCATGCATGCATGTCATGATACCCCCCATTTGCAATTTTTTCTTACATAGGTAGGTAAACATAGGTAGTTGTTAGGTCGTTGAAAGAATCCAATCCAAAGGATGAGCAGACACCAGGGGACGGATGAGGGTAGGGGGATTTTGGTCCAAGAGGTTTAAGATACACATAGAATTGTTATCCCAAGATCTGGTACTAAGAAGTGTGGGCGTTGGCGCTGGACTCTTCTAGAGATGGAGTAGACTACTCGGGGAGTTGAGTCGAGAGAACTTCAAGGCCCTCCGCCAGCATGGACTAGATATGGGTGAGTGGATGGGTGGGTGTATGTTCAAACAAGACAGATTCCGGCGAAGCTGAGCTAGAATAGTTAGAGCCGATAGGGGCTTACTGTGGTACATGGGTACTATAGTGAGAAGTGCAAGTAGGTATATCAAGCGTAGTAGAGCTATCACCACTTGTCCGTCAACGTGAATGAGCCGTGAATAATTAGAGTCGGCTCTCATATACTTAGTATACTATCTGTCTTATGCACTAGCGGTTAAGTAGGTACCCAGTGATAAGCTTCCCTATGTCGGTGGAAACAATTACTATCAGATCCAGGAGTGTGGATTGATCCATTATACAGTGCACTCCACTACTACACCTAGCCTTCTTAGGCCGTTTTCTCCCGTCTGTCGGGTCGCTCAACATCTCTAGAAGGCCCTGACTAGTAGTAGCTACTTATATGCTACTAGCACTGTCTGTCAATAACATTAAGGTACCTCGAAGAGACGAGGCCGTAATGTAGAGCTCCATGGCGCAGTGGAAGCGCGCCGGGCTCATAACCCGGAGGTCCTCCGATCGAAACGGAGTGGAGCTAAATTTTTTCATTTTTTTTTTCTTTGCTGCCTCTCTCGCATTTCATATGTCGTAACAATAGGCCTCTCTTTATGGCACTATGTCTTAACCATCACCCTACTAATACTACATTTTCAACAACTTGAATTTTCATAAAAGGAAAACTTCAATTGGAAAGGATAGGATTCGTAACGTAAATATAAAATTAAAAAAGAATATAAAAGAACAGAAAAAGAAACTCCGAATCGGGGAATCGAACCCCGGGCTTGACGGTTCAACGTTGTTTAGACATGAGAGCGTCAAATGTTAGCCACTACACCAATTCGGATAACCAATTACAAACCATTGATGTTTTTTGACCATATATCGTGCTCTACACAGAATGGTCCAAGCTCCTTACGGTTCAGACCCTGGCCGATCCGTCCATACCCGTAATTAGCCGCCTAAGTGGGGCGAACGTGAATAGGGGTAAACATCCTTCAAATATCAATTGTGAAATATGAAGCTATTCACAGTCAAAGACTTTGAAATCAGTTACTAAAAAAATGGAACCGTGTAAGGATTAACTACTCTCCAGACGTCCTGCCTACCTATATAACATACAGTACCCCAACAGTTCAAAGCTGCAAGTAAAACAACGACGCTTTACACACATTTATCCTGCCTACCAGAAACCATTGTCTCTAAGCGCACATCTTGAAGCTCTGATTACGGAGTTATAGATCTATATTTACTACTAAATGATGAGAAAAGACTGGAGTCGACGAAGACACCAGGACAGGTAAACGAGTGTCGGCAGGGGGGAAACATGTATGTAAGTTTCACCGGGCGGTCCCCAAGGCGACCCAGGTTGCTGATGATCTAAGATGCAAGACAAAATACAACACTGTGGTTGATCATATAGGGGTTTTTTTTAATTCCCTACTCCTATAATCTGGTATTTATACACTTTTCTAAATGTACACTTGTTTTCCTCCGTAGCTTGCTAGCGGAGACGACTCAAGTCGTAATGATGACCTCCCCGATGCTTTGCCCAGCATTTTTCCCGCTACAGGTATTCATCCTTGACATAGTCCTCCCACGGTATAGTATCGTCGCCATTATCCTGACTGCCGTGACTTTCGTCGTGATCATGACTGCTATGACTGCCGTAATTCCGATGACTGCCAGAAGCACCATAGTTGTCAGAATTGCCGGAATGGTTGAAGTCTTGAGGAGCTGTACTTTGGGTATCGGGCCCGGGGTTCCGACTATCGAGGCCGAAACTTCTGTTCAAAGCCGACCGATCCCTGTCAAAAGGAGAGGGCGTAGAGTATTGGAATGGTTGGGCGTTGTTCGCAGTCGGCCAATGCGATGTCTGCTGAGACGGAGACGTTGGCAGAAGGCTGGGTTGATTTGTGGTTGGAGTCGCCATGTATCCATTCGAATCACCTTCGTTGGTCGTCGTGTATCCAGTCGAATCACTTGCGTTGGTCGCCGTGTATCCATGTGTGGTTGGATCCACTGTGTTGGCTGCTCGGGGTTCGTCATGGCTAGGAGCTTGTTGACTGGTACTAGGGTCAGATGCTGACTGCTGGTCTTCTTTTCTGAAGTACTTGCGGAAGTGGTATTCGCAGTAGCTATAATGAGTTTTGGCGCCATCGCAGGATAGAATTTGGCATTTTCCTTCGACTCGCCTTTCGCGCCTGCGATTATATCTCTTCTGGTTCGTCTTTTCCCTGATCAATCTAGACCTATCCTCTCTTTCCCCATTTTCCATGTTGATGAGTGAATCTGTCCGCGAACGAAATACTTGGAAAGGTAACTGGTCTTGATTAGGTTCCAAATACGTTTGCTGAAGTAGGCCAGGGCTTGATGTGGTATGTTGTTGGAAGTACTGCGAGGAATTTTCAAAAATGGCGTAGTTGCAGGCTGAATGTATACCAGAAATACAGCCATCTCTTTTTGAAAGGCGCCTCTGAATCACAGGCTCTTAGACGTCGAAACCTATTGGTCCCTTAGGTATTCAGAGATAATTCCGACGAAGCAAAATACCGCGAAACAATACCTGCCCAGCAACATGGTAGCGCAGGCACAAAGTGACAAAGCCTCCCACGCATCGTTACACTTTCATGACTTGGGGGAATGCAACTCGTTCTCTTAATATTTTTGACACAAAGTGTAATGCTTCGCAAGTCACGCACTTGGTAAAAAGTGCACATATCTACATGTCAGAATAATACGGCCTCATTCGGCCCCTGACTCCCCCTCTCAGTCCCGTCCATGGTCGTAGCTAGCTAGACTGCGTGCCTTCTATCCTGATCCTAGTGGCGAAGGGATAGCGAACCTGCAGGTTGTACGGCATGGCAACACCATTTCGTTCTCTTCCATTATTCGGGAGTTTCCTGGTCGTTTTTTTATACACGGGTCTCCACCCTAGACTCGAACAATAGTAACTCCAAGTATGAACCCCCTTTACCATGCATTGATTGGGTTGGCTTCTTCGAAATCGCGGATGCGTCTCGGGTAATAATCGAAAACATCATGGTGTTTGTGTGTGAATACTCATCCGTCCGTTGCGACATGCTTCCTACCAAAAAATAATTCCACCAACTCCCCGGCTAGGTGTCGATCATTACCAACGTTTCCCCTATTCCTTCATGCATTTTGGTACCCGCGTGGATATTCGAGCAATGAAGCATTCTGCATTACCGCGCAAACACCTTTACGATTCCGTCCCCTCCACCACTAACAACCCATCGTCCATCTGAACTCCAGACAACAGCACAGACGCCCTCGCCTCTCATGATTCGGTGACTAGTGACCTCCTGCGTGCAGGAGCGCTTCTCCAGAGACCAGAATCGAAGGCTTGCATCGTGACCAGCAGACACGAGCTCGCGGCCATCAGGACTGAGAGATAGGGATGATATCGAAGCCGGATGGGCGAGCATATTATATGTACATTGGCCTTTTGATCCAATTAGCAAAATGCAAACGTAGGCTAGATAGGATATGTAAACTTACCGCTATTGGCATCAAAGAACCTGATGAAGCGGTCTTCGTGTCCTGATATGATGACGCCCTCAATTCCGCTGCTACCCGTACCGCTACCACCAGTGGGGCCGCTCGCATCATCGTCACCCAAGCCTGGACCGGAACTCTGGTCGAGACCTGCCGTGGTGGCGACGACAGAATTAACGCTCGTGCTGATGGTGCTGTCGTAGGTCTCGAGGCTAGCCATGGAGCCGATCTCCTCGCCAGTTCGTGTATCGAACACGATGATAGCAGCATCCGAGTAACTAACTACGAATGTTTCACCGCTAGCTGACAACGGAGTAATGCATGTGGGCGAGGCCTTTGAGCCGTTAGAGCGGTGGATATCATGCACCAACGTGTAGTGGAAAGGTGAATTCGTGGCCATATTAGGCTGGGGCGAGTTTGGGAACTGCGATCCAGAGCTCATCGAGTTGCCCCTGACTCGGCCACTTCCTGTGCCACGTCGAGGCGGACCCGGTTGCGGCGACGTAAGCTGTGGCGGCGCACTAACCGCCCAGAGCTTTACGGCGCCATCAGCCGCTCCAGATACAACTAGGATTCGGTCCGGAGTACCGTAGGGATTGGATTGACCAAAGACAGCACCGAGAGTAGCGGGCAGTACGCAGATAGCCCAGACGGCATCGGTATGGCCATCGAGGGTCGCTTTGGGATCTACCCTACCTCGTTCCCATACTCGGATAGTTGCATCTTGGCCACCTGAGAAAATCCAGCCATCACCCTGAGCACGGCCGCCAGTAGAAAAATTAGGAGACGGAGACCAAGAAGTTAGTGTAAGTACGGCGCCGGTGTGTCCACGGTGAGTAAAGTCAGCCGGTACATCAAGGTCGGATGATATGTTGCCAAGGTGGCTCGGGTTCTCACGTGGAATGTGGAAACGTTTGATCAACCCGTCGTCACCGGCCGTGCAGATCTCGGGTTCACCGGGACTTCCGCCGCCGGAGAATATCACGGTACGGACGGCATTAAGATGGCCACGCAGTCCATATCGCAACTTAAAACTTCCACTATCGGATTTCTGCGCCATGCCATTGAGAGAGAGTTCCTGTTCGGCACTTTTTCTGCGAGACATGGAAGTCTTGCGCCTATGGGAGGCAGGACTACGGTTGGGAGACTTTGGGAGACTTTCGGCATTAGGAAAAACGTCGGTGTCTGGGCGGTGTGTTAGAGGCTGTAGCTGCTGCGAAGACGCCGGGTCGGAGAAATTCCCTTCGCCAAAATCCCATGCATCTCCGGCTGGTCCTCGATGTTCAATCGGTTCAGGCAACTCGTCGCGCGCAGACTCATTGGAATGGTTGAGCTTGGCGTTTACTTCGTCTTGCATGCGTACCATGGGTTGTCCAGAAGCAGACCATTCACCGGGATGCGAATACATGGGACTAGGACCCTCCCCTGAACGAACCATAGGTGCGGATTGCATGTCCGCATTCTTTTGGCCCATGTTCATTCCGGAGTTCACCTGCTGCATCATGGACATGTGGTGATTATTCGCATTCGCATTCGCAGCAGCGGCCTGACGAGCACCTGGATCCTTGACGTGGTTTTGATTAAGTCTCATGGCCTGAAAAGCATCCTGGGGCAGTCCAAAGTCCCCTTCATCCATCATAGGGAGAGGCGGAGACTCTCGAGGGGGCATAGGGTTAGCGGGGGTGATCATTAGGTAGGTGAATTCAGATTGGCATTGATCCAAAAAGAGCCTGAGATTCTCGCGCTCCTCATCCTCTTGCACGCGCTCGCCTAAGAGACCTTCTAGGCCAGGAACCGGCTCCTTGGGTTTCTCGCCTGTCGCTATATGCAGAGTTAGTGATATACGTTCGTCATACATAGTGCATGTGTGCATGTTATACTTGATGCACGGGAGATATGATATGTCACATACCCTTGAGCTTCTCCTGAATCAAGGCGGCCCTATCGATTTTCTGGGGCTGCTTCACGGAATGGTCTGCGCCGGGAGGAGTGGAAGAGGCGACCTTCAGCTGAGCGGCCTGATCCTTCACCTTCTTCTCGAGAATATTGACGTATTTCTTCAGCGCCTTTTGAGTAGCATCCGCTCTTCTAGCCGAACCCTCGAGAGCCGCTATTCGACCTTTCATCTCCTGACGTTCGATCTCCCAGGCGTTTCTGTCTCGTTCGTGTCGATGCCATTCGGTCTGGAGGAAGCGCATAACACCTTTAGGGCACGCGCGAGTTAGTTAGTTATACGAACCTGGAAGGATATAAAGTCTTCGATATAGATAATCATACCTTGTAGGGTATATTCGGTAGCGTGCGGCTGGTTAGACTGGTTAGGTACTC